CACTTCCCCATCCTGTTGAGAGATAGCACCCAATTAATTTGCTCCTAAGTGACAGGGTTCAGCTCATTGCCTAGTTTAGAGTGTTGTAATCACTCAAGAAATAAACATTACTTCTAAGGGAGAATCCTGGGCTCAGTTCCTCAACCTACAAAGAACAGAGGGGAGGGTGCAACAGGCAGAGAAAAGCAGACATTAGGATAAGCAAAGGAGTTAGTGCCTCTACCAGGCTTACAAAAAAAAATAATTAAAAAAAGAGATGACTAAACCCTACTTTTGTAAATACACCGATCAGCCTAATAATTTTCCACAGGCATGCCTGGCTGGGTTAGCAAAGTCCTCAGATTCTCAGAAAGTGCCCGTGACTCCATGAACCACGTTCCTACTCTCACCTAAAGCAAGTGCCATAGAAGGACGGCGAGGGGGTGAAGTCGAGCGCTCGGGAGCGAAGGGCAACTCAGAACCAGCGTGACGACCCCCCTCGCACACGTGCACGCACTGTTTTGAACCTTCTGGCCCATTCAGCCTCATCCACTGGGGCTCCTCCCAAATATGCTGGTGCCAAACCTCAGCAATCTTCCCCCAGTTTTTACCTTCTCCTTCCCAGCTAGTAACTCCCAGTTACCCATGGCCCTCTGCCGCCTTCCATTCCTCTCAGTTACTACAGTCATCGCTCTCCAAGCAACTTCGTTCCAGCGCGTTCCTGTTACGAACCCTTGGCTTGACCCACGTCCCATCTCTACCAAGACCTCAGAGGAAGCGCCGAGAGCACAACGCAGCCAATGTTCCTCCTCTTAAACCTAGCTCAGCTCGTGACTAACCCAGAGCTGCACTTTGCCAGAAGATTCCCGTTCCCCCGAAGCGTGCCAACTGTGGCTGGAAGCCGAAATGGACCCCACCGAGCACGTGGGAAGTGCACTGTTCAGGGGATAATGAACTTCCAGGGGGATGCTTTTGTGTCCTTTGAAAATTCTCTCTGTGTTTGACCAAAGCTAAACCTCAGGAAAAGGCAAGTTCCCGTTTCAAACCACAGCGCCGCTCTAACTCACCGATGAAGTGACAAGCGCGTTTCTCTCTAATGAAAAGAAACAAAACACTTTGCCTCAAACTTATCTCTGAAATGATTTCACCACTTTGGCTGAACAGCGTCTTGCCTAGGGCACATGCCCATCACAGCCTTCCCTCTCAAACAACTGCATTTTGGCAAACCTGCCAGAAATGGAATTAAGCAGGGTATTCCTATTAGTGAAACCCTGGCAGGGGTTGCCCAGAGAGGGGGTGGAGGCCCCATCCCTGGGAACATTCCAGGCCAGGTTGGACGGGGCTGTGAGCAACCTGATCTGGTTCAAGGTGTCCCTGCTCCTGCAGGGGGGTTGGGCTGGGTGACCTCTAGGGGTCCCTTCCAACCCAAACCATTTGATGATTCTATGATTCCCTGACCCTCTGCAGAACTGCTGGCCCAGTGGCGAGTTACAAAGTGGTAGGGCAATTTGTTTCTGCAACGCTTCATCAAAGGCGCTTACGAGGATTCTCGCAGGCACGGCCAAAGGTGGCCTAACTCACGCATCTTGTGCAGACCCTTGTGACAAGAGCTATCTGCTCAAAAATGTGACTCAGGCCATATCTTAAATTCATTTTCATCAACAGGAGGACAATAAAAAAAAAAAAAAGCCATTCAGAGGGTAGGATTCTTGCAGCATAGGAAGTACTGCTAAAGAATTTCATTCCAGAAATATGTAAGCAATGTGCCTCTGCAACCTTGAAGTAGTTGTCTTTGAAAGTTTGCAGTGGAGAAGTCTGACCTCATCGGCCAGCCTTCTGATAGAATATTCCGAGAAAATAAAATGACAGAATGTGTCTACGCAAGCACTACGAGGGATGAGCTCAAACAGATCTTACAGACCCTGAAAGAGCACAGACACACGCATCCAGCATCAAGCAATGAATCACTCCACTACGCAGCTTTTAAAAGGAAAACCAACCCCCTTAAATACAATTCTGGACACTTTGGGTCTAGTTCTGACGTCTTCAAAATGACATTCTGCTGTCTGGCTACTCTGTAACAGAGGCTCCAAAATTTTTGCTTCCACCAGCTTTTCCTCCCCAGGTTCTAAGGCAGTGGAGTTGTATTGTGGAGCGCCTGGGGAGCGCTGACTTTAGGCAGAACACAAGCACTCCAATTCCCCGCTTGCGATCGCATTTGTCAGGCCAGCGATTCCCTCGCTCATCAGCTCTCATTACCCGTAAGAAGTTTTGCAGCGCGTCCTGTACGGTGGCCGTAGGAGGGGCTTCGAACAAAGCAGAAGCAGTCTTTTTCTCAAGCCATCCCAGGTGGGAAACCTGCAGAGATGGTGAGATGAAACTGTCAAACCCCCTGGGGACACAGCATAGGCAGAAGGCTACAGAGAAGGAACCATCCCGTTTCTCGTAGCTGGCTCGTGCACCTGGGGGAAAGCCAAAACTCTTGGTAGTGTCAGCAGATTCTGGACGAGTATCCAAGCCCGGCCACAGAATTAGACCTGATTTGCTTTTCCTTGTCCCAAGTCAGCTTTTACAGTCCCATACATCAGCTGCCCCACGCATAATGTTCAAAGTAAGATTTATCTCTCCAGCTGGGTATTACAGGCATGCAACAGCACGGGTGGTGCAAAGTCCCACATCGCCTGATTGCAACCACACCGGTTCCTGGCAGTTCCCACCTAGGCATGGGAGCAAACGCACACGGGGAGCCCTCCTGTCCCCCAGCTTCAGTCTCGTACGAGAGCGTGTTCTCACCATACAAAGATCCCTCGGGAGAGGCAGGCGAAAGCCTTCCGACCAACAGACAGTCCCGTTTTGGGAAATGGGTAGCTGTTGTAATTATGGCATGAAATCTTATTCCCCTGCTCCCAGCTCCTCTCCCTCTAATAAGAAACACCCTGAAATTTCAGCGGGGGAAAGGATGCATAGGACTAACTTCTGACAATATCTTCTGTGTAATTCTTATAATGCAGAATCGCAGAAGCACGGACATATTTCTGCACACATCTGGGTTTGTTTCCTCGCTTCAGCAGCTCCAAGAGCAGTAAGGCTGAGCAGAAAGCCCCCGGCAGAATAAAGAGCTCGGAGCTTCTGCTGCTCCTCTGTAACTACCGGTGCCAACTATCTCAGCCACAGCCTCTGCAATGTGCCTTCACTTCTGAAGTGCTTTCAAACTGTATAAACTGAAAAGTGGATACGTACTGCAAACTCTCATTTCTTTTTATAGGCACTAAATCTGATTTATGGTATTTGACTCCAAGCTTTTCCCTGTCAAAAAATACAAAGCAGCCGGCACGCTTCTTCCAATACCTCCAGTACTTTGTGTAGCAAGGGCAGAGGAAACACATGCAAAAGATTATACAGATATAGTGTGTGCAGAAGCTCCTGCCAGCCCTGAAATGCCCTTGATCACATCCATATGTGCTCCAAGAATCGGAGGTAATTTGTTTTTACGGAGCAGAGCACGGGAAACAGTCAGCCAGTTTGCAGCCAGTGCTTTTCCTAATCCATTCCTTGCTATTTCACCTCCCATACCACCTGCAGTGACTAAAAAACTAAGCCCAGAGCCTCAAACCCTTTGGAGCTCCAATTCAGAAATAACACTTGCAGCAAACAGCTTCCCTCTGGGAATGAGACAAAAAACAGGGGGAAAATGAGCAGGATAGCGGCGATGAATAAATGAAACGGCAAACCCCCCCCAGCAGCTTTTACTCCATTGCACAGAGGCACACCAAGGGCTCTTAAAGCCTTTTGTCAGTTCGGGGACAAAAGGATTCCAACAGCAAGAGTAGATGACCTTGCCAATATGAAACGGCACTCTGCAGGCTTTGAAAAACTTCAGTGTGTCTTTAACCCCCCCCCCTCCTCTGCCGCCGCTGGCCTCCCATGGTTGGCACAGAACAACGCGCTGGGAACGGGCTCAGCCAGATTTGCCCCGGCCACCGACTCCGTGTTCCTGTAGTCCCTCTCTCACTATGAACTCACATAAGCTCTTACTAAGAACCCAGACCTTTAAAATCTCGTGCTTTGAGCCGTAGCACCGGTCTGAAGGCACACATTCCAGCTTTACCAGGAGGCAGAGAAGAGGAAGATGGGCTCCCTGAGACCTCTCCATTACAGCTAAGGAAACAACTCAGTTGGAAAGCGGAGAGAGATTCTGAATGACACCGTATCCTGGTGGACAATAGTTTCAGTCATGCTTTTATGAAAGCTCTGAGGTGCTACATGCA